TAAGCAAAGTTAGGTTTGTTGTAGACATACGAATCAACATCCATCCAGATCACCAACATAAACAACTACAGCATCCCATTTTGGTGACCTTGTAAGCCTTGATGAGCAAAGTTAGGTTTGTTGTAGACATACGAATCAGCATCCATCCAGATCACCAACATAAACAACTGCAGCATCCCATTTTGGTGACCTTGTAAGCCTTGATGAAGGCCACATATAACTAGACCAAGTATCGCACTAGGAGCTTCTAAAATTCCCAAACATTTGCACACTTTGCATAACATATCTTCGATCCGCCTCAAACATTTTGTTTAAGTTCATGCTTTATGAACATTGGTCTAAAATCATCTCAAGAGACCCTATTTAAGAAAATACAATATCTAAGACCTTTAAAGGAATAAAAAAAATAAGGATCCACAACATCCCAGAAAAATATAACGACCCATATGATTATAGTGAAAATCATACATGTAAGAGCATACCTGACAAGGCTTGATCTTGGTTAGCTCGTTGCCTTAATAGAGAAAGCTCACTCTAAGTATTACAATGACAATATTACAGTTCTCTAATTATACAAAAACACACCCCAAATGGAGTTATTAAATTATACGATTATACTCTAGCCTTTTAATACCCCTCAATCCATATGCTTATCTTGATAATCCTACGACACGAAAGAGCATACCTGACAAGGCTTGATCTTGGTTAGCTCTTAGCTCTAATACAGTAAGCTCATTCTAAGCATTACAATGACAACATTACAACCCTCTAACTATACAAAACCGCGCCCCGAATGGAGTTATAAATTACATGCCAACCCCCCACCCCACCAAAGTGCATTGACGCATGCGAAGGGGCGTGAGATCCTCTTTCGTGTCCCCAGTCACTTAGATAGAACCGGTCCAGACTTCGACATCAAATACAAAGAACCAAGAATAAAATCAACATCAAAAGGTCAACTTAACTAGCTCACCAAAGTTTTGAAAATCAGCACCTCTAGGTTTGCAAACTAATAAGCCAACTTGAAAAGATAAAATCCTCAACTCAAAAGTCTAGGACTGAGATCAGCACAAAAGTTAAACCCAACAAGTCATAAGAATGGTTGAGTCATTAATAACTTCCCTTGTTCAATATGCCATAAGAACAACATTTAAAGTGGCACCTAATTCACAAGATTAATGGTAGAGCTAAAATTTCAAGCCTCTCTGATTGGAACAGCTCAATCAGTATATAAGCCAAGAAGATCTGATACTACCATTAATGATCAGCCAGCTTATTAAATCTAAATCCCTTCAACAAGTCCTCTATGAATAAAGTCTTACATGATCATCTTATCCCAAAACAAGTTTAAAATAAGCAAGGGCCAGTAGACTCCAATTCAGCTAAATTGAGTACGTGAAGGGGAGCTAAATTGAGTCCATCATCAACAAGTTTGCCATTCATAATGCATTGAATTGATGATAATCTCTGCTGGCTTAGCATGCTAGGGCAACTTGGCTGATAAGTTATTAGTCTAAACGCCCAACCTTTGAGTCAAAGCTGCCCCTATCCAGGCATCAAGAAATTGACCCTACATGCAAACTCAAATCAAAAAATACATTTCGCATTGACCAAAATAATTTCGGGTAAGCTACGGGTTAAGAATGTCAAACCGTTTAATTTTTTGGGTTAGTAGTTTTAGGGTTGACCGACCAACCCTAAATTGAGCAGAAACTTACCCGCCAAAATTGACTCGAAATTTACCTAAGATCAACTTGAAATCAATCAGAATTTGACACGAAATCGACCCAAATAATTGTTCTACTAATGTTAAATGGGTTATATAGGTCAGGTTCAATTTGGCGAGTTGCAGGAGGCACGGGTTTGGTTCAATGAGTTGCAAGCGGGTCAGGTTTGGGTTGATATTTCTACCCTGTTTAATATCCACATCGTGTTTGGGTCAAACATTTTTGGGTCCGGTCAGTTTCGTGTCGAACTCAAACCTACCCATGAACCCAATTTGACACCTCTACCCCTGTCCATAGATACTCACTAAACTCTATAAACTATTCAATCAAGAATCAATTCCTATCTAGTGCATTATTAAAATCAATATTGCTAATAACGCAGGGCTTGCTCAGTGGCCGAGAACCTATCAGCCTTCATGGGGACTAAAATTGTCGCTCCTTCCCTCTCAGAACTTCCTACTGTACTTCCTTCCATAGAGGGAACTTCTTCCTCTTCAATTCCTTTCCTATATTTTATTCTTTTCCAATTTCTAATTCTTACATATTTCTCTTCCTTTCCTATTTCTATTCATTCCTCTTCTATTCCTTGCCTTTTCTATTCCATTCCTAGTTTTATTTCCTTCCTATTGTAATTCCTTCCTATTCTAACAACTAGTACCTATTATAAATATATTTTTTGTTATCTTAGGGTTCAGTTTTTGGTCTTCTGATTTTATATTTCTATCCAACTTGCCGCTGGAGACTCTTTTCCCTTCGAGAGTTATATAAAAAGGAGAGGAAGTGCTCCAGCTATAACTCGTCCGAGGTGGTGATCTTCTCCAAAGATTCGAGGGGTGCTCCAGCCGTAACTCGATCCTGCGAGGGTAGTTTTCCTTCCATATTCCCCTCCACTTGCTTGTTGCCATCTCCCCTATGCTCGACCTTCCTGTAATCCGCTGGCATCTAGCCCTCCAGGTTTCTTCCAGCCACCGCACAGGCCTTCTGGCCCCTCTTTCTGCTGTTGTCCGTGCTTTCAGTGGTTGCACTAACCTTCTGGTCCTGTTCCTGCTACCGCCAAAACTGTCTTTGTTGCCGCCAACCCTTCCAGGCCAGCACTTGTTGCCGCCAACTCCACCAGAGCTTATTCCTACTACTTTCCAACCACAGGCAGCGGTCTCTGTTGCTGTCCCCCCCTAGACGCTTCCTGCGGCTGCCCAATCCCCCGCCACCACTCCTACTCCCTTCTAAGCCGCAACCACTTGATTCCAGCCTCCTCCCAGCAGGCCGCCAGCCCTCCTACGCCATCCAACGCAGTTGCCACCCACTGTCATCCACCCTCCAGCACCACCGTCAATTCCTTTCTTCCCTTCTGAGCCTGTCGCCTTCCTCTAGGGAGTCATTTATGAGTTTTGCGTTGTTTTCTTTCTTATTTTGCAGTATCGTCGTTATTCCTTGTTTGTATTATTTAATGTTGAGAATTCATCATTGTCACTTTTGGATTCAATAATAAAATTTATTGTTCGGTCATGGATTGGGTTAACCCAGTATCAACCAAATAACAAATCAGGTTGAAGCTCAGTCCACTCTTAATGTGACATCTATGAATATTTCTAAAAATCCAAGCAAGGACCTAAGCGAGAGATCTAAGACATTTCATTGGATATCTCCGCCGCCATCTCTATCACCAACTCTCATTGTATCTTTATCACATTCTTCACCTCTTCTTCCCTTCTGAGCCTGTCGCCTTCCTCTAGGGAGCCATTTATGAGTTTTGCATTGTTTTCTTTCTTATTTTGCAGTATCGTCATTATTACTTGTTTGTATTATTTAATGTTGAGAATTCATCATTGTCACTTTTAGATTCAACAATAAAATTTATTGTTCGGTCATGGATTGGGTTAACCCAGTATCAACCAAATAACAAATCAGGTTGAAGCTCAGTCCACTCTTAATGTGACATCTATGAATATTTCTAAAAATCCAAGCAAGGACCTAAGCGAGAGATCTAAGACATTTCATTGGATATCTCCGCCGCCATCTCTATCACCAACTCTCATTGTATCTTTATCACATTCTTCACCTCTTCCACTGTTTCTATTCCATCCCCCTCTCCCTGTCCATCTATTTAGCTTTAACCCTCATTCTCAGCTTCACAAATGAGGAAGAAGGAAAACAAAAGTTAGGAATAACGCAAAGTAAGATTGCAGACGTTGAAGCATTCATGAGAAAAGAGGGAATGGATACAAATATTTAACGATACTGCGTGCAAGCCTTAATCATTTCAGTAATTTAAATAAATAAATAACTTGGTAATGAAGAGCGACAGCTTCTCAAAAAGTAGTTTATTGTTGCACTGTACACAGCAAGAAATAGCTAAAAAAATTAGTTCGAGGTGCAATAAAATATGCAAAAAGGACATCATTCACAGCTTCACCAGAAAAAAAGTGTATAGGATAGTGCTCAAGATCAAGATTTAGCCTAGCTAGGCAGGTCTTAAATAATCATCTAAAGGATCAACCATCAACCCCCGTTCATCACACAAACCTTAGTAAAAGTATACAGTTGAAGCAATAGTAGAAACTAGATTTCAGAACAAATTCAGTCACAACGAAAATAAAATATTAGAATGGATTAATTGCCTGTTTTATAACAAACATCATCAACTAAAGAAAATTTTACTCTGCATGACCTCACACTGGTAACACATAACTAATCAAATTATTCTACAATGTAAATGATCGCAAGTTAAAAGATAGCTGTCTTCAAGACTTGTTCAAAGGTGAATATCCAACAAGATTAAAACAAAGATGTTGATAGAGCACAATTCAATAAAATCATGTGAAAGAGGCGGCAGAAAAATATGAACCTAGTGAAATTAAAAGAACGGTGAGATAAAGAAAGATAAATCTTTTTCCCACGAAGAGTAGTTGCCGCATGTTATCATTGAAAAAAATGGACAAGGTTCTCTGGAAAAAAAAAACATTTTGCCAGTGCAAAAACAAACTCTTTGTATGAAGAAATGTTAAGATAGGATGCCGAAACACTACATTATTTAAAGGGTCTCAATGAGATCATCAGAAAATTTGGGCAACTCTAGCTTGTGAACTAATGATCAGATTCTCCAAAAAGATATTCTATGCCATGCAAGAAATAGCATGCCAACAATTAAAATAATAATAATAATAACAAAAAACATGCCAACAATTGCATGTTCATGCTGAGAAAAATAAAAAACAAATAATTTCAGAGAAAACCGTGAGGTTCAAAGTAAAATATAATCAATAATTCACATGCCTGCAATCTTAAGTAAGTAAACACTGGAGCCTCCAGCAGGCGTATGAACTTGTCTAACTGCATCAAGAACTTGGCATTTATGTCTTCCTCCACCAGTGATTGAATTACAGCACTGGCGTGGCGGTAGGCCTTTTTTTATCAGAAATAGATTATCAAAACAAATTAGACTAACTTCATAAAGAATTAACAGTACCAAGGGTTTATACTAACCTGAGCAAGTATGCACAAACTTATCATTCCCATTTGTGAATGACACCAAGAAGAATACATACAAAGAAATAAATCTTTGCTGGCAGGATTCGTCAATGATTGTTTTAGAAGATTTCTCAAGTCGATCAATTCAGACGAGGTAAGGAGAATCAAATTCAGAGCCTGCAAACACAAAAGGCCCTAATTTTATAATTTTTTTATCCGCATCTGCTCCTTTCACTTGTAATCATCACAAAAAGTTGTAAGATGTGATAATTGATAAAACCTGAACCATGTTTGATGCAAAACTAAAATCTCTTTCACCCTCAAGGATTTGAGAAAATTCTCGGTAAACAAGTTCAGCATCCAAAAGAACACAAAGCCGACATACTATCAAAGCACTACGCCTGGAAATGTATCACATTAAATATATAAAATAGCAAACCATTCTCAGTGAATGAGCTTGCAACTTGTTCTTAGGAAAAGAAAATAAGGTGAAAAATAATATCCGGAAAATTCACCCAAAAAAAAAACATATAGCATACTTCTCCAGAAGCCTATGATTAGAGCGGAAGGTGCTTATCAGAAAAACCACAAGATGGTGAAAACGTTGAGAATCTTTTGCTATGCATGCATGAACGTCCAGCGCAAGCAGAACAACCTGTAAATAAGTAACAATACTGTAATAAGCTGGCGGGAAAAAAATAAGTTTGAAAAGAAGCAGCCTTCGATAAAACTGTATACAGCCTATGGTATTCAATAACACGTTCTTAATAGCATCATATTTTTTAGTGTGATCATATTAATATGCTACATATGATATAGCTTCTTTGTAGGATTTGGTCAAAACTAATTTTGTCATCGTACGTAAATTAGTGCAAATGATGGATAAGTGGTTCAAAGTGATGGAATGTAATTATAGTAGTATTAGCTCTAGTGACAGAAGTGTGACTTTGGGTGATCAAATTATTAAAAGGTGTGAACGATTTAGATATCTTGGGTCCGTTGTTCAAAGCGATGGTGATATAGATGGAGATGTTAATAGTAGAATTCAAGTTGGTTGGTTGAAGTGGAGGAATGCTTCGGGCCTTTTGTGTGATAGAAAAGTATCGCTTTGACTGAAAAGAAAATTTTATAAGACAGTGGTGAGATCTGCAATGCTCTATGGCGTTGAATGTTGGCGTTTAAAAGAGAAGCATAATAATAAGTTAAGTGTTGCCGAGATGAGAATGATTAGGTGGATGAGTGGCTTTACACTTGAGACAAAATGCGAAATGAATATATCCATGATAGGGTTGGTGTAGCTCCTATGACGGACAAAATTAGAGGAAGTCGTCTTAGATGGTTTGGTCACATTAAACGTCAACCATCTGATGATCCAATTAGGAGAGTAGATCTTTTAGATTCGACTTGTGTTAAGAAAGACAGAGGTAGACCGAAAAAGACTTGGGCTTATTATATAAAAAATGATCTTAATTTACTAGAACTAAATGAAAATATGACACTAAAAAGGACGCAGTGGAAAAAAAAGGATTCATGTAGCCGACCCCACGTAGTGGGATTAAGGCTTTGTTGTTGTTGTTGTTATTGTTGATGGATAAGTGGTTGCTCTAAGCTTGAAGCAATCAATTATTGCTTAGCCTTCTAGCTTTTATAATTTTTTTTATTCATATTTTTTTGTAGATTTAGACGGTTCTCCCTCTAATTATCATATTATTTGTCAACATTAGCAAGAGAACCCAAATAGTTTGCATTGAAATTTGAGGGCATTATTATAACAAAGATCCCATCTGAATAAGATTTTCTGCCAAAATTGCCATCATCATAGAAAGTGGCCTAAAGTATTCGTTTCTATAATTGCAATTGCAATTTTCGAATGGAATATAATATGTGATAATTCGGATTGAATTTTAATTTTTTGAACTGATTGTGCCTTCTCTCTTGTATATATCAAGTCCTAATATTAGAACTTGCTACTCTGCATGTAAGAGCAAGAGAAATAATCTCGAGCTTTCATTTTTTTTAATGATTTTTACTGTAAATAGCCTTATGTAAATATAAACAAAATAATTTAGTGAGACTCGCAATTCCCTGATCCATGATGAGATGAATTATTCTGATCAGACCAATGATGAAGAATTTATGATCATTCTTTTGTCACAAGAATGAGTATCAAGGCGTAACCCCAACAGCGCCACTCTTGGCATGTGAAGGGTCACAGGGTAGGCCTTGTCGAATTCAATTGGGACATCTGAAGAATAGACCTAAACTTTAGAACTTACAACCTTATCATGTATGCGAGACAACCAACTTGAGCTTTCTTTTTTTTAAATTTTTTTCAAATTTTAAAGGGTTTCGGGGGTGTAGATTCTACCAAATCCACCTTAGACATATATAGAGGACTAGATCAAAAAATTGAAACTTACAATCCAACCCAGTGTATGAGGCTGCTTATTCGAGCTAGTTTTGAAATTTTAGTAATTTGAAGATGTCAATGGGCTCCACCCTATAGGCTAGGGAGCTCAATCAACAGTATGCAAGCAATATAAAAATGGGTCAGAATTTGGAAGAGAGTTTGCACATTTTCTAGAGTGATATGCATGTTTTTCAATGCAATGTGATTTGACTTATATTTGTTTTGAAGCATCTACAATGCTTTGAGGCTGATCCAACTTTATTCGTCATATCAGCACAATTGCTAAGTGTGTACATCTATATATATATATATATAGAGGT